GGCCCGGCTAACACAAGGACCGAGCATTTTGCCGGTAACTGTGCCTCCCTATTCATCTTCCCCCACCCCCATAGAGTAACAGTAGTGTCTAAAGCCAACACTCTCCCACACACCACACTCAACCCACTCACACACGCACTCACACACGCACTCACACACGCACTCACACCCGTGTTGGCTGAAGACCTTACTGATGACGACTGGGAGGATCCAGCTGACTATCTCAGTTGGTTGGCACCAAGAGTGCTACAGGCGGCCATGGGGATTGAACCCACAACCTCCTGAATGCCACTTGCGTGCCTAACCAATTGAGCTAGGCCGCTGGATCTCAAACTGTTTTTGGAATATGAGGATCTCGGTTTTTTACTATTAAAAAAAAGAAAAAAAGGAGGAGGAAAGTGGTGGGTGTTTCTGGTAGCCAAGCTTTTTTTCCTTTTTTTTTCGGGTCCTAATGCCGTGTTTTGCTGAGGGCTGTGACGCCCATTGGGAGGGCGGATTCTCACATGTAGCCCGTGTTCTTTCACGTCCCAAGAGTTGAAGCTTTTTTTTGCCTTTTTTTCTTTTTTTTATTTCCTACTGCCGTGTCCGGCTGAGGGCTGTAACGCCTGTTGGGACAGCATACTCTTCTCACAGGTGCCCAATGTTCTGCATCCAGCTGCTTTTACATCCCTAGCGCAGTTGCTTTTTTCCTTTTCTTTCCTCTTTTCTTTTTTTTTTTTGTTCGTTTGTTTGTTGGGAAAGTTTGTCTGGTGCCCCTGTATTTTCCGTTAATTTGCATCGCGCCCCTCCAACAGCCGTTTTACCCTGTCGCACCCCTCTGACCAGAAGTCAAATTTTCCATAAACCCTGGTGTCCTTTGCGCCTTGTAAGTATTCGTAGTGCCCCCAACCGGACCCACATCAAATTTGCATCGTGCCCCTACCGGATACCCGTTGGAAAAATTTCCAATATGCCCCTACCGGTACTATCAATCTTTTCGGTGTGCCTCTGTTGCCATTGGAGGCACGCAGGGGAATTTCTCTCTCTCTCTCTCTCTCTCTCTCTCTCTCTCTCTCTCTCTCTCTCTCTCTCTCTCTCTCTCTCACTCACACACACACACACACACACACACAAACAAGTGTGGCAGTGTACATTTCCATGTTCTAGCGGTAGATTCATTCGATTTGCTCATCGTTTTTTTTTTTTTTTTATTAAGAAGAAACATCATTGGCACGTGAGAGCACCTGCTAGCAGGAGTTGGTTTGCTCATCCTTTAGATGGAAGTAGCATGAGGTCATCCGCGGCTGGGGGGGGACACACAAACACACAAACACACAAACACACACACACACAAACAAACTCGCAGGGAAGAGAATAGCATGAACACAGAGCAGAGGCACAGCGACGGGCGAAAAGGAAGAGGGCAGCTGACACTCTCCTTGTGATGCTAGACGGGGAGTGAAAATGAAGAGGACAGGAGGTTGGCCTTCACGAGCGTCGGCGCGTCAACAACAACAGGGTTCGAAATTGAATTCAAATTTCCAACGCCTCACTGCCACAGGGGCAGCACAAGAAGACGGGTGCCCCTTACCAGGCCATATGGTGCAGAGCCCGATGGAATGGGACCGCCACTTGAGGGAGGGTGTCCTGGAAAGTTGCAGCCACTACCGACAGGGGCCTGCAGAAAAGATTTTTAGACCCAGGGGCGCGACAGGGTAAATCAGATGTCGGAGGGGCGCGGCGCAAACTAATGGAAAATACAGGGGCGCCAGACAAAATTTCCCTAGTTTGTTTCATTTTCGACGAGTACCAGAAAAAAAAAATACAATGGGACCCACGCTCAGCAAAAATTGGTGTGCAGTGAAATTCAGGGTCGGCAAAAACAGGCTCGGAGGTAGCGGTGGGTGGTTTAACATTTATAATTTTATTAAAAAAAAAAAAAAAAGGTTTAACATTTACCATACAGCGAGGCGAAGCTGTCCATCATTCAACTCACCTAGAGCGAAGCAGCATATCCCACTTGTTGTCCTCGTCTTCTGGACTTATCTTCCTCTTCGTACCCCTGCTACCTTCCCCTGCTGCCTCAGCTGCCTTCTGGGCCTCCTCTGGTGCAACATCCATATCATCTTCTTTCTCATCCAGGTGCTCCCAGGACTGCAAAGGCAAACCGACCGATGTGCCAGACCATACACAAACACATTTATCAAACAGATTTATCATTTATGCGCAAAAAAAAATAAAAAAATGATGTACAGGATTGTCCGTTAAGTACAAGATTCTTAGGAGAGCATATCACTTTTGAAACACTCACAAATTTGATCGCTTGTTAGGAAAATAAAGCCACCACTTCCTTGGACAGCAAGATAGGCGAGTCTGCCGAACCAGAACTCGTATGTTAAATTCCCCCATCGCAAGAGTCCTGTGGAGCATATCACTCTCTGATTGGGGCTCTTTGTGAGGGTCTCGATGAATAAGCAGTAGACGGAAACCACCAGTACATGGCCCAGCCGAGCTGAGACTCCGATTAAACCTCTCCTACAATTTCCGATTGCTTGGGACAAGGCGTCCGAAGGGCCAGTAGAAAAAATTTCATGTCGTGGGGTGGCACCAGGCACAGCCCTGAACCAAAAATTAAATAATTCTGCCTGCTCCCAGGTGTGCCCTGTCCCAAGTCCCCTAACTTTTCGGCGAGACTCGTTCGTATTCTCCAGATGTACTGGTGGTTTAAAGTTTACACCCCTCTTCCAGACTTCCGTCCCCAGGGCCGACAAACATCAGAAGCAAAATGACAGACAGATGTGCTGCATAAGAGGAACAGATGAAGAGTGAGCCCCCTGTTTGCATCTGGGCAAATCAGTGCACAGAATCGACTTATATCCAATAATGAAACTCAGCCATGCCTTTTTTTGCTCATAGTAAACTTCTTTCTGAAGAGTTTAACCAAAATAATAATGCTCCTCATCATCACAAATTGTGTTTCACTATCACCACCACCATCATGCTTTTCGTTGCAACACGGTCATGGTACTTGGCCCGTAGTTTTCGTCAAGATCATGCGCTCTTGACCACCGTAAGTTGAATGATTGCAAAAACTACAAAAAAACAGAGAGTTCTATGACTGTCATGGCTATGTTCTCCTGATCGCAGATTAAGAATTACACAGCCATGAGAGTCATGCTCTCCAGAGTCCAACAACGAGTGCAGAAAAAGCTTTCCTCTTTACCATGATCACCGCCAAAGTTTCAAAACCATAGAGACTGTGTTTCACAATTATCAGCATCACTTGCAAAAGTGAAAGAATTCAAAGAAACCTAAAAAACGTGAGTCCCCTTCTCTTTGCTGTGAGCTGTAGCCCACTTGGCTGGCCTTCGAAAGGCGCAGGGCTCGTTGATCCTGACAGTGGTGCACACAGCAGCCATTTGATACATCCTATCAAACAAGTGCCTACCTTCAGGGACCCCAACATATCATTCTCTTGCTCGTCCACCTCCATGTTCTCTCCGCCTGCATCTTCGGATCGGTCCAGGAGCCTCATCACTGCTGCCTCATCATAGACCAACTACACATCCCAAATGAACAAGAGGTCCACATTACGAAAAGTGAGCGAGGGTCAGGCAGGTTCATGACAGGGGAAGGGGAGGCTAACTTGCAGGCTGTCTTGGGGCCGCAGTCCTCCCCTTTCGTACCGGTACTTTCTCTCTCTCTCTCTCTCTCTCTCTCTCTCTTTTTGCATTGTCCTTGTTGTATCATGTTTGCTACGTGATAATCAACCGGACTGGTGTCGCAAGAATAGACGGGGCTGTGTGCGTTTGGGTTATAAAAAAAAAAAGACGGACACGAAAAAAAAAAATTGGGATGGAAGGGCAAGAAACTTAAGAGGCTGAAGGAAGCGATAGGGGATATTATGGATCTATAGAGATAAACAGAGCTATTACTTGTGATTTTCATTTCTGTTTTGGCCTTACTTTGTCCAGTTTGTGTTTGCTGGTTGCAGTGAATGGGACGCTGGATCGGGTTTCCCGCACAAGCCCACCTGGGTAATGGCCCCAGTACATTCCGGGTTGAAAAAGAAAAAATAGACAGGATAAGCTAGGTTTATGATAGAGGAAAACAGCTTAGCGGGCATAAATTCAGCTTAGTGGATTTAGACAACTAGGGTTTTATGTAAATAGGGACTTGGTCTCCACGTCACTGAGGTCAGTAGGGTTTAGGGTTTAAGGAGAGCATACAGAGAGGAGGAGGTGTCGGAGGCAATGGGAAAGACGAAAAACAGCGGTCGGTTCCAGGGCTTAACTGGAGAATGGGTGAAAAGATAGAAGGCAGGTTCCTCCTTTTTTTGCTATTTTGTCATGTTAATCCAGCTTAGTCTTTGTTCAGGAATAGCATGAAGCTTCTTAGGAGAAAGCGACACTGGACCCGGTTTCCAGCAAGAGCCAAATCTGGGTATTGGCCCCCGTCTTCCGGGTTGAGATGTGGAGTTTTTTTTTTTTTTTTAAGAGAAACATGGAGCAAGCAAACGAGAGAGAGAGAGAGAGAGAGAGAGAGAGAGAGAGAGAGAGAGAGAGAGAGAGAGAGAGAAACTTCACTCGTCATGCATGGCCGTCCTTAGTTGTGGTGTGATTTGTCAACAACAAAAAAGCATGCTTTTTCTACGACGGCATAGTAAACAATCAGTACTAAGTAGTAACCCAATAGAAACTGATCACCAAATCTTCAGGGGGTTTCAAGTTTCAACTGTTCCTGTAACTGATCAGTGCTAAGCTGCAAACCTAAACACCTTGGGGATATAACGAGTACATTCATGAACTGATCAGTGCTGAGTACTACTAAGTAGTACTAGCCCAAACAAAACTGATCAGCAAACGTTCCCGGCTTTTCAACTTCTCACATACTTGTTTATCGCTTAGAACTCATGAACTGGGAGATCACCCGGTCCAATCCCAACACCTTGGGGATGCAATAAGCACATAATCGATATTAATTCCTGATGGCAGATATTTTGCCCGATATAGTGAGACAAGGGAAGCACCAACGGGCCTAGCGCAGCTGGTTGCTACACCCAATGAAGTGTTGCAAGAAAGAGAAGGGGGGAAGCTGCCACACGCCAACCTAGATGTATAAAACTATAATAATTTTTATTACTCTGTCCACTCCTTGTAACTGCCAACTGAGGATTCCTAATGTTGCTCATCTAGCTGTTGACACCCAGAAGAATACAAGCCTGCCCCATAAGTATACAAGCCAAGAGGGAGATCTTCTATTCCATCGCACAACGCCCCCAGTCCTAGCTCAGGAAAAAAAAAAACCAACTTCATTGTTGCCTGTAATCGTGCCATACTGACATCGGTGCCGTGTAAGGTTTGCTAACACAAGGTAACAGAAAAAGCACGACTTTGACACAGACAGTTTCGTCTGACTTTTTGCCGCTCATCAGGATAGTGGCTTTCCCACATGTCACGGCTTTCTTCTTTCCCTCTGCATTTCTCCATTCGAGTCCTCCAACGACTGGGCATGGCTGCGACAGAGTTTCCTCGGAACATTTGCCCACTCATCGCCATAACATCAGATTCTTTTGGAGATACCAAATCTTTGTCCTCTTCTGGTTCAGTGGGTTTTTTGCAAGGATCTCATCGCTGAACCAATTTTTTTATGTTGCTCAAGCTACTGCTGAAAATGCAGCCCGTGCTGCTATTCCATTATTAGGAATTAAGTCCGTTGAAGTGAGAATCGAAGGTTAAGGTTATGGAAAGCCCTCAGCCTTACGTGGTTTGCAAAAGAGTTTCCTTGGACATTTGCCGACTCGTCAGCATCGTGGTGTCCTGCATGCAATGAGCTTCTACCTTTCCTCTCCATTTTCGAGTCTTTCAAGTTTCAAGTTTCAACCACTTTTCTGGATCTTCTTTTTCCTTTCCACTTCCACATGTCTGGTCTTTATCTAACAGCAGGGAAGGTCTTCAACACACAGTGAGAGCAACTGCCAACCCTTAAAAAATGGCCGGGAAGTCGGGCGGCCGTTAGGTCGGTCACCTATGGACTTCGCAGAAAACCAGCTTATCTCCGAGTCCGAAAGTAGCTATCAAAGACTTGAAGAACAATTGATTGTGCATTATGTGTCAAATAACAGGTCGTTCTCCGTGGACAATGGTTGGACATCCAAGATGAACCAGTAGCGCACTTTTTTTTTGTGTGTGATTTTTTTTCCTTTCCTGGGCTGTTCTTGTCTTCCTTCTTTGTCCCTTTTATCCGTGCAAGGTTTTGTGGTGCACAAACAGTTATAGTACACCTGTAGTCTCTGGCATGCAGACGGTATAAGGAGGGGCAGCAGGAGAGGCCAGGGATAGCCAGAAGCTGGACACACAGGGAGCTGGCATGCTACTGTCTTCCCGTGGAGAGAACGTACGGCCATTACCACTGTATATAGACTGAAAGAAGTTGCACCAAATACAGCTACAAAGACCGTATGCTCTAGTTGGGGGAAGACAGTAGTGGTGATAATAGATGCTGTCAGGGAAAACCAAATAAGTACAGTCCCAAGTATCTTTGACAGCTGTACCAAACCAAATAACGGCAACGAGTTTACCACTTCCATCGGCGAACAACCGAACCCTTGGAACCTCGACCTTCCACCATTACTGATGGGGTAAGACTATGCTTTCACCATATTCACTACAGTCACCTGTAAGAACTTAGGTACGTACAGTCGGAACAAATATCACATTGATTACAGGTGAGGATGAAAGAACTACATGTACCACCAATGACCATGCCGTCACTGTAACATCCTTTGCATACGGTCTCAGATCCACATAGCGCACCCGAACAGAGAAATTCTGGATTTAGAAATGCCTTCAATATTAAGTTCACTATAAACACTGCCGGCCTAAAAATAAAATGGTGTTCTATTTCGTAGAATTCACCCCCTACAAAGGGACGTCAAGAGAGGACTCACCACCTCTCCATCCGCACACGGTTTTACCTGCATGGTCTCACCAGCTTTGGGAGGCCGCAGGGATTCAAAATATTAGCAGCACCAAACAGATAAGACATGCAAAAAGACAGAGCAAAGCCAGCTGCTGCATCTTGGTCATGAGGCGAGGAGAGAGAACACACGATGGTATAACTGAGCGGCACATTACCCCAACAACCACCATATCTTCAGTGCAGGCATCATCGGGACAACACACCGCACAGAGCAGCTGTAAATCATCTCCCCATGTTGGAACAAAAATGCCCGCATGCCAGCAGTTCGTCATCATGTCGACAGCTATTAAGGGAGGGAGGGAAATAAAGCATTCACAGAACAAGACGTGTGTGCCACAGTGCCACTACAGTAAAAAGAACTGGCTTCATCGCAATTCATTTGTGGGTTAATGTTTTTTGTCCTGAAACAAACATTGTGCTTCAACGCTTGAAAGTTGAAACAGACAAAGAAGGATTATATATACAGGTTTGCACTAACCGGCGATCCCTGACTTAAGCATGATCGACTTGCCTTGGGACGGTCTGCCTTGTGGCACTGGTCTTCATAGACATCTCCCAGGCCCCCAACCCTCTTTGTGCGCTTCAGTTCACCCTCCTCCCCTTCTTCTGTAATTGTTCCAATCCCTGCACAGACAATGCAATCTTGTGTTACACCAGCCATCAGCAGTTTTTTTTGTCCCTGCATCCACTAGAGTTTTCTATTCCGCAAACAACAGTCTCAAACTATTAGTCTAGATGTGAATAAGATGACATGAACACTCTCCAATGTCTCCATCTTAAAAAAAAGAACAACACCTGCAGAGATTCCGTGAGTCCAACGCACTGAAGTGGTGAAGGGTGTCTTGAAGTGGTGATGAAAAATACGACTGTTGTTAACCTTCTCTCTCCACCAGGGTTCGTACCTTCTTCTCCTTGATCCTGAAAGAGTTCCTCTGTCCCCCACTTGAGGATGTCCTCCACCTGCACACCAAACACACAACATACAGATCAAAAGCATGATTCCAAAATGCATCTCCACAGCACCTTTGCTGAAGCACAAAGCATCCACTTCTCTACAGGTTACAGATACATAGGGTTTCACATCGAAAATAGAACGTGACAGGGGTCAAGGGAAGCATCATGCCAGCATGTGTTTTGTCCCCTAGTTCTCACCACAAACTTGCACAAAGTGTAAGAACCATAGCTGCAAGTTCGACCAACACAGCACACCAAAAAGTGAGGTATGCCCTAAAGCACACCGAAAAGCGGGCCATGCACTAAGCTTTACAGAAGCTGCCATGTATGCCTGCAGCAAGCAGCCTCTAAAAAAAGAACATCAGACAATGGACCAGCACAAGCCACGGACCTCCTTCTGGCTTCCCGCCTTGTTCGCAAAGAGATGGTCAAGCATGAGTTTCTTCTTTGCAAGCTGAATGATGCGCTCCTCCACACTCGCACGAGTTACAAGCCGGTAAACTAGCAACCTCTTCGACTGCCCAATACGGTGCGCTCGGTTCATGGCTTGAATATCAGCATGGGGATTGAAGTCTGAATCATAGATCACAACAGTGTCTGCTGTTGCCAAGTTGATGCCTAGCCCACATGATCTAGTGGACAAAAGAAACACAAAGCGTGACTTGTCCTTGTTGAACCTTGCAATGGATGACTGCCTCTCAGACACAGCAACCGACCCATCCACCCTCTCATAGGACTCGTGCCCAAACCGGTAGGTCAGGTATTCTTCCAAGATGTCCAAGAGCTTTGTCATCTGAGAGAAAATCAGCACCCTGTGTCCTTCCTCCTTCAGCTTTCCAAGCATCTGATCCAGCAGAGTCAGCTTTCCTGATGCCTTGATCCGCATCTCTTGCAAGAACTCCTGCGACCCCACCTCCGGCTCCGTCCCTGGCATGAGATAGGGATGATTGCACACTTTCCGAAGCTGCATAACGATATTTAACATCGAGGTATGGGAGCTGCCCTTGGATCCTTGCCTGAGAAGTTGGTAGTTCCTCGTCAGAAGAGCCCTGTAATACTCTGCCTGCACAGAAGTCAACTCTACAGGCACCACCCTTTCAGTCTTTGGTGGGATGTTCTGCATTGCATCCCTCTTTAGACGTCTCAGCATGTGTGGTGCCACCATCCTCTTCAACTCCTCCACCTGCTCTGCCGTGCTTAACGATGAGAAGCTCTCCTGGAAAGCTGCCAGGGACGGAAACTTATCCGGCTGCAAGAAGTTGAGCAGGTTGTACATCTCTCCTAGGTTGTTCTGCAATGGCGTTCCCGTCAGAAGGACCCTGTGAGCTGTCGAGAATGTATTCAACAACATGAACAGCTTGCTCTCTGAGTTCTTCAGCCGGTGCCCCTCGTCCACCACTAAGACCTCCCATGGAATCGACCTCAGAAAGCAGGTATCCTGTAGAACCATCTCGTATGTCGTTAGCATCACATGGAACTTGTACGCCCGCTGCCTCTTCGGAGCTCCAGGTGCCGATGGAGTTCCCCCACTTGAATGGGCATAGAACTCGTACTGACGAATCAAGGCTCGGCCTTTCGCACTGCCATGATAATCCACGACATTCAAATCCGGCGCCCAGAGTGAAAACTCTGCTTGCCAGTTAGGCATTGTCGACAGAGGGACCAGGACAAGACAAGGCGCCCATGCCTTGAACTCGTAGTGAACCTGACACAGCAAAACACCACAGACCAACTCAGCCACAACTCTTTCACAAAGGTTGCAAATGCATGTTGCAAAGGAGAGAGGAGGTGCATTACAAGGGTGCAAAAAGTCCTGACTAGGGTTGACAACTTGACATACATACGGACAACTGAAGCGCGATTCATCCGACTACCATTTGTACTATGCTCCATCCCCCGGTGGGTTTCGCATCAATGACTGGGTAAAAGTACCCACAGATAGCTTTTTACAAGTTTCTTTGCTTATCTATTCTTTAAGGAAAACTTGTGACCTAAAGACTGAGGCTCCTCCAATTTTTTTTATTTTTTTTATTTTTTATTTTTTTTGCAGGTCCTTATGGCCCTGGCTCCACATCCATTCTGGCGAGCGTCAGTCCGGTTCCTATTCCCGTGGCAAGTCAAGATTAGTCAGATACATCATGCATGTACACACTCACACATCCTTCCATTTGGTCAAGGGCTCCTTGTCAATTCCAGAAAGTCAAAGAAACAAAGCTGACCACCTTGCTGACTCCTAGCATGCAGCCCCAACCTTCGGGGCTCGCCCTCCGCAGCAAAATGGCTGGCGGCGCCAGCCTAAAGGAGGCCAGCACCGCTTCATGTTTTTTTGGCGCACACCGCGCAGGGTGTTTCCAGCCCCGGAGAGAAGTGCCTCAGCAGTACTGGTGGTTTTAAGTAGTCAGAACCGTTCGGTACCCTACCGTCTTCACCCGAATACAACACCCGGTCATTATCGCTGCATCTGGACTGAAAGTTGGGCCAAATGCAGCTATAATGACCCGGCGTTCTATTCGGGTGAAGACGGTAGTGGCCAAATGTCTCTAACCCCATACACGTAATCATCTCACATTAACCTCCTCGAAAATAACTTGATCCACAAAAGACCAACAATAGCTTGGCCATGAGCTCTCCTAGAACATTGAATATCAGAACATTTCACAACCACAGCATTGGGAGCCACCGGTCACATATTACTACAACCCCTCCCATCCCCGCCTCCCCAGACCAATTGCAAGGAACCAATGCAACTGCTGCCAGGGCACCCATCAACCCTGTCCCTTCAATTTCACAGTCTGTCCTCAGTGAGGTGCACATATTAACAACATAGCTTGCAGCAAGACTCAGACTCCTCGTACGAGAGCTGGGACCGCAGACAAAGTGGCTAATACAAATGACAGAGAGACAGAAAACTGCGCTACTGACAGAAGAAAACCAATGATATCACAGAAAGTTAGAACACTGATGCCAATTGACTCTTTGATCGATGCGAGGTCTCAATGATCTATTTCCTGAAGAAATCTGAAGGAAATAGAAAGTGAATTTTTTTTCACAGAACCTTCACAAGTCATCCAGATAGAACCCCTTTCTTCCGAAGCAAGTCATATATTTATATTGCACTTCGCGACTGCCAGACACATGGAGGTTGGAAGACTGATCAGGGAACAGCAACGCAAAATATTAGAGAGATGAAGATTGAGGGAACAGGCAGCGGCAACGGAAGATTATCGCACCGCAGAGACAAAGGCTGCAGCGGATATAGTTTTCCCCAATCCCATCTCATCGGCCAGGATAACATTCTTTCGCTTCTGCCAGCACTTCCGCAGCCAATTCAACGCTTCCATCTGGACAATTCACACAGGAGCACACACACAAGCCATGGCCGACAACTCGTCAGAATCTCCCTCCCAGTCATAGGAGGCCTTGCCTTTGCACTTCATGTGCCATCTTCATATTTACCAACCCAATTGGTCTGCTGGCATTTTCTATACACGCTTCCGAAAGACTTCTTGGGGTAGAGCATTCACACGATCTGCATGCTGAGTTCCTCCTATACCAAGCTTTCCAAAGCAATCCAATGATTGCCACGCATAGTTACCACTTGCCAAATCCAGATATCCAGACAAGCATTCAGACTCTCTGGTGCCGTCTGGACTAAGTGAAAATACTTGAAATATATATATTGTCACAAAGTTATCAGAGCGCAAAAGCGAAAAAAAAAACAAAAGGAAACAGAAAAGATATCGATTCATTTTTTATCTTCTTACTTACAACTCCCCCTGTTCACAACCTCTTGCGTCCTTCGGAACATCCGTTAAAATTGGAACGATACAGAGAAGATTAGCATGGCCCCTGCGCAAGGATGACACGCATAAATCGAGAAATGGAACCTCTTGCGCACAAGGCCGCCCACGTGGATGTGGATGAGCGGCGGCTGGCCCCACCCCTGTGTGTCATATCGACACAGTTGCACACAGCCAAAAGGCAAAGAAAAGAGGAAGGGAACAGCCAAATATAACAAAACAGGGGGGAAGGGGGGAACAAGATCCTGGATGACAAGCCCCAAATGTAAGCACCGCCCCTAACTTCATAGGCCAAACAACGGGACAAGATCAACCAGGATATCAAAACACTCTTGCCTGCAAAAAAAGAAATCCCAAATACATATCTATATACAGCGGATGGCCTTGTTCGTCATCAAGCTGTTGGTATTCCCATTCCTAAACCATTGATGCTCTCATAGGCCGAACAACAACAAACACCCGGATGACTGGTCCCACATGAAAGCACCGCTACGCTCGCCAAAATAGACCGAACAACGGGACAAAACCAACCGGGATGCAGACAAGGGTGCCAAAAAACAAACATAACAGATCCTAGATGACAAGTCCAACATGCAAGCACCGCCCCCTACATCACAGGCCAAACAACCGGACAATGACCAACCAGGATAGCAATCAACACCCTTGCCTGCAAAAAAAACTATATAAAGACAATCCCAGATGACGATTCCCACCTAAAAGCACTCCCATCAATAGGCGAAACAACAGGAACCAGCCAACTAGGATGCCAAAAGGAAAAAACCGGATGAAAAGTCCCACATGAAACCACCGCCACGTGACCGAACAACCCACATGAGGACACCGCCACCTGGACCGAACAACGAGACAAAACCAACCGGGATGCGGACAAAGAGTACCAAAAATACCAACAATTCTGCCATAACCAACACTTGAAAAAACGGAACCATACAGTAGGTCCATAAAACGAAATACCCCAACAACGGGGAAGAGCAAAGCAAAAGAAAAAAGAAAAAGGATAGAAAGGAGAATTAGAAAAGAGTATATTCTACCATAACCAAAGAAAGAGCCTGCTAGTACAGGCCCGACGCTCGCCGCATCATCTACAAAAGCACAGAGCTAGCAACGTTGGAGTATATATTGTCAAAAAATTATCAGAGTGCAATAGTCAAACAGAGCTGCCCGGTAAACTGTAGGCAGAGAGTGAGAAGGGGACAACAAACGAGGGGCTGTGACAAACTGTTTCGTCGGAGTTTCACCGACTCAACAGGAGTCTGAACCCTCAACAGTCTGCAGAATCCCCTAACCGATTACACTGTAAGACTAAGTGATAATCCACCTTAGCCCCGGCTGTGGTTAAGCATCAACATCTGCCCGACAAAGCAGCCTGGTAAACCGTAGGCAGAGATATATATATCATCACAAACAGAACTGCCCTGTAAACCGTAGGCAGAGAGAGAGAAGAGGACAACAAAC